GCCGCTAGTCGTACATGTAGTATTTATCGAATGTCAAGTAGTAGTAGTTAGTAGTAGTAGTAGCGTAGTGTAGTAGCAGAAGTAGTAGTAGCAGCAGCAGCGCAGTCGCAGCAGGAGGCAGCAGACAGCATGTAGTACTAGTAGAAGTAGAAGTAGTAGTAGTAGTAGTAGTAGTAGTAGTAGTAGTAGTAGTAGTAGTAGTAGTAGTAGTAGTAGTAGTAGTAGTAGTAGTAGTAGTAGTAGTAGTAGTAGTAGTAGTAGTAGTAGTAGTAGTAGTAGTAGTAGTAGTAGTAGTAGTAGTATAGTAGTAGTAGCAGTAGTAGTAGTAGTAGTAGTAGTAGTAGTAGTCGTAGTAGTAGTAGTAGTAGTAGTAGTAGTAGTAGTACTACTACTACTAGTTGTGGTAGTCCCTGGCTACCCGCAGGCATCCGTAGGCCCTGGCTCTGGCGTAGTAGTAGTAGTAGTAGTAGTAGTAGTCGTAGTAGTAGTAGTAGTAGTAGTAGTAGTAGTAGTACTACTACTACTAGTTGTGGTAGTCCCTGGCTACCCGCAGGCATCCGTAGGCCCTGGCTCTGGCGAGCGGCGCTTCGTGCCCAGACCCGCTGCACGGCAGCCCAGGGGGATGGGCAACGCCGCATGCAGCGGCAAGGCGCAGCTCCTGCTCGATGCGTCTCGCGAGGTCACAGATGGCGCCGAGGAGTGGATGGGCAAAGGCCTCCTCGCCGCCGAGCGATTCGTCAACGAGGGGGAGCTGCGGCTGCCTCCGCGGGTCTCGGAGGTGGCACTCGCGCAGGCTTGCAAGCGGGTCGCCAGGGCAGTGGCGGGGGAGGAGCACGGCGGCGTTACGCATCAGTCCAGGAGCTCCAGGGCGGGCCCGATCGAACTCCCGGGCCTCTTCAGCGTTGACTTCGCTTCCCAGGGGGACCCGGAGTGCCGCAGGTTCGAGGTCCTCCTTGGTGACGGCCCCGACCAGCCCGGCAGCCCGGCAGGCGCGGAGGAGGACGGCAGGGGCCTCGCCGCGTTGGTGGGCAGTTTCGGCGGCTCTCGGGCGAAATTCGCAGTGACTCTGCGCGTGGAGTTCGCCAGCGTGTCTTACAAGAAGGCGCACTCGCCCTTCCGGGACGGCGCCAACGTGGAGGAGCAGGTGAAGCAGCTCTTGCAGCAGCGGCCGCTGGACCTGGCCCATTTCGCCTCCAATTTCGGGAATTGTGTGGTGGAAAAGGCTCTGGGGCAAACAAACATCGCCCCACCCGAGCACCTGGTAGGGGGTGTCCCGTGTTTTCGAAAGGCTGCAGGCGGCAAACATCAAGATCGCGCCACACATGCTCGAGTTTCCCCCCCACCTTCCACAAGAGGGCCGGACTGTGGTGGGTCCTGCCCCCCCCGCTCGTATTTCTTTAGGCCTCTGGGATGGGGTCTGAGTAGATGCGGTCGGAGGATCGCGCCGCATCGCCGATGCATCGATGACGCGGCTCGATGTCGAGCCCGATTTGCTTCACGTCGACGTCTCCGATGCCTCGCCGACCTCGACGATCCACGGTGCATCGCCGATGCGTCGCCGATGCATCGCCGATGCATCGCCGATGCGGCGCGATCCTCAGACCCCATCTACTCGGACCCCAACTAGGAGGCCTTCAATGTTTTCCATAACGTATATAGTTATCCTTTCTCCTCTCCTCCTCCTTTCCCCTCCTTTTCCCTCCTTATTTCTCCCCTCCTCCTCCCATCTTTTGGCTGCCTCTTTCGAGCCAGACTTGGATGGCTCTGGCACTCAGCTGAATACATTCCTTACTGCTTCCGCCACAGGGCGCACGGAAGTACATGTGGCGCGTCGCGGTCGCCCCCTTCTTTCTCCATGACCTCTCCCGGAAAAGTCCGCTGACAAAAAGACCCTGCCCCACCCCGTGCAGGCTTTCTGCGGCGGGGTAATGGTGCTATCCTTCGCGAAGGGGGCTGCCGATTCTGAGGCCTCCGCGCCGCACAGCGACAGCGCCTTCGAGGTGGAGGTCGCCAGGGCGGTGTTCCGCGTGCGGAAGTCACAGCGGGGCGGCGAGGCGGTTTTCCAGGGCCTCGAGGGGAAGCCAGCACTGACGCTGGAGCAGCTGGAAAAGCAGGTCCGAGGTTGGTGCAAGAGCTTCTCGCCAGACAGGGCGGGGACGCGCGGCATAGGTCAGGTGGTGCGGCTGCGACTGGCACCCTTCTCGAAGATCGAGGGGATCACCGTGCCGCCTGGGCTGACCCAGATGGACTTCGAGCGCGCAGCCCTCATCTCTCGATCGCGCGTCGATGAGACCGCCGATCCGTCCTCCGATCGGGATCGGGGCGGTCGATGGGGGCCTCGATCGATCGAAGTTGGGACGAGTCGGGCTGGCCGGACACGGGCCCAGACCTGGGCCGCCCGGCGGGAGCGCGCAAGGCGCAGCCGCGCTGGAGAAGGCCAAGGAGGCGCTGGCCCGCGCAGAGAGGACCCGGCAGCTGCCCGAGCTCCAGGATGATGGGCCGGTTTTCCACCACCACTACCATAGGCAGGAGGGGGAAAGGAGGAGGAGGAGGAGGAGGAGGAGGAGGAGGAGGAGGAGCAGGAAGAGGAGGAGGAGGAGGAGGAGGAGGAGGAGGAGGAGGAGGACCTCCCCATCCTCCCGGAGCCTCTCCCCCGTGCCATGGTGGTGGTGGTGGAAACTGGGCCCATCATAGGAGGCCCTGGACCGCGCCGCCGCCTCCGGCCTGGAGGACCCGCGGCTCGGGCCGCTGGGCGAGCGGCGGCGGGAGCTCGACGCCGCGCTGGACGGCCTGCGGCAGGCCATGCGGCAGCAGGGCACGGAGGCGCTGCAGCTCGCGCTCGCGCGCAGCGAGGATCGGGGAACGAACAATGGCTCGGATCGGCGCTGGGGCCTTCTGGCGGCGTCTCCGGCGCCGCCCCTGGCGCCGTCCGCGCGCGAGGGAGGGGGGGTCGAGCGCCGATCTGAGAAGTCCGCGCGGACCTCCGAGTTGTTATGCTCATGCCCTTGTCAGTTCCCCTGGAGGAGGCCGGGCTCCCCGGGTGGGAGAAGGTGGCGCACGAGGAGGCCTCCGCACGAGGGCGGCGGTGCACCACCGGTCAGGCAGCCCTGAGGCTATGGGCCTTCCTGGGCCCCTGGGGGCCGGGCGTGCGTGCCCTCCCGGCCTCGAGGCCGGGTGGTCTCGCGGCTGCCCCTGATACGCCCGCGTCGGAACGCGACGCGTGCCGTCTTCAGAGAGCCCGTGCTGACACGCTGCGTGTCTGCTCGGCACGTCTTGGTCTTACGTGCTGGCGACCGTGTCGCGCCAGACCTGCGCCGTCTTGGCCGGAGCTGGGTGTGGCGGGTCGACACGCTGCGTGTGGCGGGTTGTCTGTTTCGGGGCAGCGGAGGGAGGTCTGTGCCACGATCCCAGACCCCCGACGCCATGATTTTTTCATTGCATCGACCCGTGGAGGTCTCGACTCATTCTCCCGGGACAAGTTCTTCATCCTGAGTCGTTTTTGTTACGTTCCCGAGGCTCGGTGAGGGCCTCCAGAAGCTGAAATTAGCAAAGAACGCCCCGTCCAGATTTTTTCATGACCCGAGGGGGTCTGCATGTATTTCTCCATGCATGTGTCTCTTCAGGTATGTCTCCAGCTTGCTACTTTTCTGCCGATGTGCCGTCAGGGCGCGGCTCTTGCCTGCCTGCCTGCGAGAGTGTCTGGTTTCCATGGCCCGAGGGGGTCTGGGATGCTGGGGCCAGGGACAGCCCTGACCCTGGGGCTTGCGGTGGTGGTGTGCGACCGCCTCCCGTGGGAGAGGCGTCCGCCTGCCTGGCCGCGCTGCTCGAGGTGGAGCAGCGGGCGCGCCTGCGGGCCGCCGCGGAGGCCGCGGACGTCCGCGCCACCGACCTGGTGCGCATCCTGCGGGACGCGCTGCCGCAGGGCGCCGGCAGCTCGCGGCCGGGCTTCGCACACCTGCAGGATCGGCTGCACGAAAGAGTGACCCTTCGACCCGGACCCCCTCGCGTTGTGGCAAAGGTCAAGACGGGAGGTTTTTCGCTATTTTCGGCCTCCGGGGGCTCTCACCGGGCCCCGGGACCACCCAAAAACGACTCAGGATGAGACACCCGTCCCGGGGAATGGATCGAGACTTCTGGGGGTCGGTAATGAAAAAATCATGGCGTCGGGGGTCTTGGAAGAGTGACCCTTCGACGGAGCGACCTTCGGTGCGGACCCACTGGGGTCCCCCGATCGCTGGACCTGGTGCGATAGCAGCGGCCGGGCGCGCTTGGGCTTGGCCCCCCGCCCCCCCCCCCCCCATGGCACCCCCAAGGCCGCGCACCACAGGGCGCTCCTGCCCAGGGGCACCCTATCGCGTAGCCGGCAGGAGTTCAGGCAGGCAGAGGCCCGCCTGGCGGAGCTCATCGCAGGCCTCACCAGCCAGGCCGCCAGCGGTGCGCTGACGGAGGAGCAGGCGCGGGCCTACCAGGATGCCTTCGCCACCCTCCCCGACGCCCCCGCGCTGTCGGCCAGTAGCCTCGCAGCCGCCGGCTTCGCGGATGCCACGGGCAAGCTGTCCCGGCGGCTGGAGGACAGGCGCGAGCTCAGCAGGCGCAGGCAGGCGGCCGCAAACATCCCATGACCCCGACAGGCAAGGGGGCAGATCGGTTTGGCTCGGGGGCGGATGGAGGGGGGGGGGCGGCTGTCGAAGTGGAGGATGGGGACGGGCCATCTCTTGGGGGCGGGTGAAGCATCGGCATCGGGGGTTCGTGGGTGTTTTGCACTCCTCGTCAGGGCGGAGCTGCTGGGCGACCTGGAGGGGTCGGTGCAGCAGGCAGAGTCTGCGCCAGCTGGGAGCGGCGGCGGCTACGAGGACCTCGGGAAGAGGCTCCGGGAGGCCGACAGGCTTCTCCCCCCGGAGGCGGAGGACGCCGAGGAGGACGAGGCGTCGCCGTCCACGCAGTCGCTGCGCTCTCTCCGGTCCAGGGGCGCCGCTCTCCTGAGGGAGAAGGATCAGGAGGGGAAAGAACACACAGGCACAATTCATCGTCGACTCCCAGGAAGATATGGGAAAGTATGGGAGGTGGGGGGAAGGCAAACGCCCAGAAAATGTGGGAAATATGGGGCATCCTGTTACTTGTGTGTATTCATTTGTGTGTCCCAGGGCCCCTTCAGCTCGATGCTCCCCCCTCCTCCTCGGTCTTCGGTCCTCGCCTATATCACATCCCCTCCTCTGCCCTGGATCCCCCCATCGGCCCTCCCTCTCGCTGTCCTCGGGCATCCTGTTATTTGTGTGTATTGATTTGTGTGTCCCAGGGCCCCTTCAAAGGAGGCCATGGACCAGACGGCGCGGCAGGTGGAGGCCCGGCTGCAGGAGGCCACCCTGGGCTCGAGCAGCGTGGACGCGCTGGAGTCTGCGCTGCTGGACCTGTCCGTGAAGGATCAGGAGGGAAAAAACCCACAGACACAATTAATCGTCCATCCCCCAGAAAATATGAAAATATGGGAAACTATGGGAAGTGGGGGGGGGGAAACGACCTCCCCCCCAAAAATATATATGTGTGAAAACATGGGGCATATTTTTTAGAATGTGTGTGTGTGTGTATATTTGTTTGTGTGTCCCAGGGTCCCTTCAAAGGACTGCGGGGTCCCAAGCAGGAGGGGGTCGGGGTAGGGGAAGCAGCAGCTGCTTTTTTACTTTCGGTTTCGCCGATCGGCGCCCCAGTAATCCAACGTCTTGAAACAATCAAGACGGAGTTTTTTCGCCGTTTTCGGCCTCTGGGGGCCACCAGCGGGCCCCGGGACCGTTAAAAAACGGCACAGGATGAAAAACCGGTCCTGGGTAATGGGTCGACCCTTCCAGGGACCCCACATTGAAAAAATCACGACATCGCATCTCCCCTCCCCTCTTCCCCCCCTCCGTAGACCAGATCTTGGCTGCTTTGGGCGGCTGCTTTGGGCGACTGGTCAGAAGCCCTCCCTCCAGTCTGCTTGCGCGACTGGACGAGGCAGATCGACAGAAACGATATCCTTCCCTGCAAGGTCACGTTTTTCAGCATCCGTGCATGTTTTGTTTGCTGCGCTGCAGGATTCGGGTTTGTGTCCGGGTTTAGGGGGGTCTTGCAGGCTTTTGAGGCCTGTGTCCGGGCTTATTCTGGAAATGCTCCAGTGCAGTGTTTGGTTCGTGCCTCTGTTTGGGAAATTTGGTTTCGAGGGATGTTGGGTGTCCGGGTCTAGCGTGTCCGGGTCTACGGGGCCCGTGACCCCCTCGCCCCCAGCCTCCGACCAAATGCCGCAACCCAGGGCAAAAACAGAGCCGCACAAGCAGGTTTAAGGCGGCACCCCTGTGGCAGACGACCCTGGGCAGCTTTGCACAGGGCGGCCCCCGATGGGGAGCCGCGATGGGCCACCGATCTCGGGGGCCCGGGCTCCCTCCCCGGGCGTCCGAAGCGTTACCAGAGTGAGGGTTGGCGAGCGGTCGTTCGTTGTCCCTGGGTGTGTGTGGTCGACGTGGGATTCCGTGGCCAGGGCTATTGTTGCATTCTCGCTTCTCAAGAATCGTTGCTGTTGATCCCCCCCCCTTCGGTGCCCCTCGTGCTTGCAGCAGTTGTGGTGCTCCTCCTGGGGCTCTTACTTGGTGTTGTTCGGACACATCTGTTATAAGGGAAAGTCTCGGGCCTCAGATGGGGTTGTCGCCCCCCGATCAGCAACAGCAACAGCAACAACAACCGCCACGACAACAACACCACCACCAACAACAGCACCACCACCATCAACAACAACAACAGCAACAACACTAATACCAACAACATCAGCACGCATGTTAAGACTGTTCGCTCTTATCTGCTTGCGTCCCATTCAGAGCGTATGTCCCACACCCTCGACACCCGCCCACTTCGTCTTCGATCGTACTTCCTGGTGGTATATCTTCCTCATCTGCAACGTGTATTTCGTGCAGCCCTTGAGTCAATGAGGCCGGGGAAGAGAGGACGGATGGAAGCAAGGAGCAAGGGGGAAGGAGGAGGATGGAGCACGAGAGGAAGTAGTAGAAGGGGGGGCTAGGAGCAGAAAACACGTAACAACGCCAGACGGGCAGATCGGGCGGGTAGACCCTAACGGACGGGTCGGGAAGGCGGGCCTAGGCGGCCAGGCCGAGCAGGCGGGTTGCTGAAGCGTGCGTCCTGCATGAATCGCGAGGAAGCCTCGAGCGATAGAGCGATCCCAAGTAACAGGTGAGGAAATCCGCAGTGAGAGCGTGATTCCTGAGTGTCGATGGCGCGGCATTTGAGAAAACTGGAAGGAAATCATACGTATTTCAATTGTGAGGAAGTCTCGCTCCAGAGCGCGATTTGGGAATACACTGTGAGGGAGTATCAGGCGGGAGTCGGGAGCCGCTGTTGTTGTAAACCGTGGGCCAACCACGTAATTTTGAGACTCCAGACCTTCCCGTGTAAAAATTCGGTCGCGAGCCCCTGGAAGTGCGCGTCAAGTGAAAAATCACCAAATGCCCTGGAGGGTATATCAAAACATCAGTCTTCAGTAGTGAGAGTTCAACAGCAACAATCACAACAACACCAACAACAACAATCAGTTCACAACTGTTGGATCTTATATGCTCGCGTGCTACTCAACACGTATATTTCAAACCCTCGATACCCGCCCTCTTCGTCTTCGATCGTACCCCCTTGGGGGTATACATCTTTTTTACCTGCAGCGTGTATTTCGTGCGGCCCCTAGGCAGGGGAAGAGAGGACGGATGGAAGGAAGGGTCACGGGGCAGGCGCGTTGCTGAAGCGTGCGTCCTGCATAAATCGCGTGGCAGTCTCGAACGACAACGCGATTCCCAAGTACATCGTGAACGAATCCATAGCGAGAGCGTGATTCTTGAGTGGCGAGGGCGTGGCGTCTAAATAAATTGCGGGGAAAACCACGTGAGAGCGCGATTCCAGTATAAGTTGTGAGGACGTCCCGCGCGAGAACGGCATTTGGGAATACATTGTGAGGACGTAGCAGGCGGGAGCCGTTGTTGTTGTTGTTGTTGTTGTTGCTGGTGGTGGTGGTGGTGGTGATGGTGGTGTTGTTGTTGTTGTTGTTGTTGAATGTTAATTCCTAAGCAATGATTATTGTTGGACCCCTTATAGGCGCCCTGGCGCTCTCGCCGAGGCGCCGGTTGCATTTTCATCGAAAACGGGGCTCGCTCTCAAGCGGTTTTGGAGACCGCCAAAACCAGCCCCCAAACAACAACACCAACAACAACACCAACAACAACAACAACAACAACAACAACGCTCCCGTTTGAGACCTCCTCCTTTTTTACTCAGGGCTGGTGCTCTTGCTCGCCACCGAAAGCAGCCGTCTCAGAAAATCCAGCGCCCCCGCGCGAGACTTCCTCCCGTTGTATCTTGGACAGGCGCGCTAGTGTTTCTCTCATCGGTGCCGCACCCCAGCAACAACAACGCTCCCGCTCGAGGCTTCCTCCCTTTCTAACTCAAGGCGGTGCTCCTGCTCGCCTCCGACAGCCCCCGTCCTGACAAAATCAGCGCTCCCGCCCGAGGCGTCCTCCCATTTTACGCTGGACTGGCGCCCTTTTCTCCTCCTCCTCGTCCTCCTCCTCCTCCTCCTCCTCTTCCTCGTCCTCCTCCTCCCTCCTCCCCCCTCCGCTCCTCTTCTCCCTCCTCCCTCTTCCGTGCGTCTTCCCTCCCCCGCCCTCCCCCCTTCTCCTCCTTTTCCTCCTCCTCTTCCTCCTCGTCCTCCTCCTCCTCCTTTTTCCTCCTCCTCCTATTTCCTCCTCCTCCTCCTCCTCCTCTTCCTCCTCCTCGTACTCCTCCTCCTCTTCCTCCTCCTCCTTCTTCTCCTCCTCCTTTTCCTCCTCGTCCTCCTCGTTCTCCTCCTCCTTTTCCTCCTCCTTCTCCCCCTCTTCCTCCCTCCACCCCCTCCTTGTCCTCCTCTTTCCTTTTTCCCCCCCCCTCCCCCTCTTCCTCCACCTCCTTTTCCTCCTCCTCCTCCTTTTCCTCCTTCCCCCTCTCTCTTCCTCCCTCTTCCTCCCTTCACCCCGTCCTCTTCTCCCTCCTCCTTCCTCCCTCTCCCGTTTCTCTTTCCTTCCTCCTCCTCCCTCCTCCTCCTCCTCCTTTCCCTGTTCGTCCCCCTTGTCTCCTCCCTTCTCCTGCCTCCCTCCTCCCTCCTCCTTCCTCCCTTCCCCTTCCGTCCTCCCTCGTCGCTCCCGCTTGATATTTCCTCACCTCTTACTCAGACTGGGGCCCTCGTTTCGGCATCGCCTTTGGGGGGCTTCCAAGCGTCCCTATTGAACCTTAGTGCTTGAATTATTATCATGTCTGGAGAGCATAGATAATGTGGAGGAGGAGGGGAAGAAGGATGACGGATGACTTCCAGGGGCTGCAAGGATCGAGGGTCGAAGGGTTGACTTCAGGGATTCCTTGAGAGGGTGTGGAGGGGCAGGTGGAGGATGTGAGCATTGGAGCGGCAGCGCCTGGGGGCGTGAACGTTCAGGGTCACGCGCCGAGGCCGCAGGATGGTGGCGGAACAGTTCGAGCGAGGAGTAAGAACCACTTCGTCCTCGGAGGTACTGGTACTACAACTACTCCTCCTTCCTCCCGCTCCTCCTCCATCCTCCTCCCCCTCTCCCTCTTCCTCTCCCTCATCTCCCCCCCTCCTCGTCCTCTTCCTCCTCCTCCTCCGAGATGCGGGGCGTGCGCAAGGCGGTTGCAGTGGCGATGTGCCGTCCGAGCGGTGGACGTCGAAGTTCCCCGGGGGAGGTGGTGGCAATGCTTTCTTGGGCGGGAGATCAGGGCGAGGGAATATCGGGCCCCGCGTGCCAGAGAAATCCCCCTATGATGGGGCGCGGTACCCAGAGGGGTGCATGTGACGCGTGGAAGCATGGCGCGTGATGGTGCGCTGTTTGTTGTTGTTGTTGTTGTTGTTGTTGTTGTTGTCGTCGTTGTCGTTGTCGTTTTTTTTGTTGTTGTTGTTGTTGTTGTTGCTGTTGCTGTTGTTATCGTTGTTGTCATCGTCGTCGTTTTTGTTGCAGTCGGCGTCGGCGTTGGCGTTGTTGTAGTTGGTGTTTTTTTTTGGTGGCGTGGGTTTTGTTGCCGTTGGTTTGGTTGTAAGTGTTGTTGTTGATGTGGAACTCGCAGAACTCAAGGGTAAGTATGGTTGATCCCCCCTCCGGAGAGCACTGCGCGTTTCAATTGGAACGCTTCACCCGGGGCTCGCACCCATTTTTTGCGCCCGGGAAAGTCACGGTGTTCAAACTGGGCTGTTGGCCCCCGGATTACAACAACAACAACGGCCCCCGCTTGACGTTTCCTCTTTATCTCGCCAGGACCCCCGCTCCCGCCTGAGATTTCCTGGGTTTTTATTCAAGAATCGCGCTCTCGCTCGGGATTCCTTGCAATGTATCCAGGGACTTGCTTGCGATTTACTCAAGAATCGCGCCCGTGCGTTGGAATTCCCCGCAATTTACTCGAGCGCCGCGCTCCCGACATTCAGGCGCCCAGGGGCCGCGCTAACGCTCAGGACCCCCTCGCAGCTGAGTTCGGAATCGGGATTTCGCTGCCCTTTCGTGGCCCCGTTGCACCCCTTCGCGGCCCCCTCGCTGCCCGTCGTGGCCCCGTTGCAGCCCTTCGTGGCCCTCTCGCTGCCCTTCGTGGCCCCGTACATCGTTGCTCTTCGTGGCTCTCGCTCGTTCGCGCTCGTCGTGGCCCCGTATGCATGCGCCTCGTGGCCCCGCTGCTGTCCTTCGTGGCCCTGTTGCTGCCCTTCGTGGCCCCATTGCTGCTTTCAGTGGCCCCGTATTTGCCTTCGGCGGCCCAATCTATGTATGCCCTTCGTGGCCCCCGCTCGTTCGCGCCCTGCTGTCGCCCTGCTATCGCCCTTTGTGGCCCCCTCGTTGTCCTACGCGGCCCCGTTGCTACCCTCAGTGGCCCCATCGTTGCCCTTCGTGGCCCCGCATTATCTGCCCTCCGTGGCCCCCTCTCATTCGCGTCCTTCGTGGCCCCATACGCATGCCCTTCGTGGCCCCGCTGTCGCCCTTCGTGGTCCCCTTCCTGCCCTTCGTGGCCCCGCTGTCGCTCTCGCTCTTGCTTCCGCTTTCGCTCGTCGTGGTCGCGGTCGTGGCCGTCGTCGTGGTCGGTCCCTTGTCCGTCCCTTTTGGTCGGGCTGCCGCCAATCAGCGCTGCCGCTGGCCAGGCCGACTGGTCCGCGGCCGCCCCGCCGCTTGCCGGGGTCCGGCCTGCAGGGAAGAAATACCCATCAAAAGGGGTACGATGGGAGACGATGGGGCGGGTATCGAGGGTTTGGCCAATACTCAGAATGACACTCGAGCAAATAAGAGCGAACATTACTACTTAACTGATTGTTAATGTTGGTGTTGTTGTTGTGCTGATGTTGTTGGTGGTGTTGTTGTGATTGTTCTTGTGATTGTTATTGTTCTTGTTGGTGTTGGTGTTGTGCCTGATCTGCCCGTTTGGTCCTGTCACTTGCTTTCTGCTCCTAGCCCCCTCCTGCTGTTTTCTTTCGTGCTCCATCTTCCCCCCTCCCCCTTGCCCTTTCCTTACATCCGCTCTCTTTTTCATTGCCTTAGGTGCTGCACGAAATACACACGCTGCTGGTTAGTAAGATACACCTCGAAGGGGGTACGATCGAATTCGTGGAGGGCGGGTATCGGGGGTTCTGGATATACGTGTTGAGTGGCACGCGAGCACGGAAGAGCGAACAGCCTTAAAATAATCGTTGTTGTTGGTGTTGTTGTTGTTGTTGTTGTTGTTGTAAACGGGTGGCCAGGTGCCTAGTTTGGTGACACCTCCTTCTCCCTTTTTTTGTTTTTAAAAAGGGTGCGCACACTGGGAGAAGCACTGCAATTGAAACAACACAATGGTTACCGGGCAAGGGCATCAACAAAACATGTTGCTCAGGAGTTTGGGCGCCGGCTTCAGTCACACTCGGGCAGATCTCCGGGCACAGTGTTGGTCACTACGCCCCCGAGAACCCCGTCGCCAGGAGTTCTGTCATAGCGTCACCCCCCAGATCGGCACGAACGAAATGAGTACGGAAAGAATGGGCACAATGCCCAACAGCAGTGCTTGTTCATTTTGAACACGGCTCGCTGTCGGTGTCGCCGCGGCCTGTGTACATTTGAGACAGAAGGCCGCCTGCCCAACAGGCCGCTGTTGGTTTGGGACAACATTTGTTGTTGGGCATTGTATTCATTTTTCCGTACTCACTTCGGGCGTCCAAACCAGAGGTCTCCACCCTCTCCCCTGAGTCGCTTCCTGACGGCCTCGAGGCCGTGTACGTAAGGGCCCCCAGGGGCTGAAAATAATGAGAAATTTTCTGTCGCGCTTTTTGCAGTGGCTCAAGGAGGAGGAGGAGGAGGAGGAGGAGGAGGATGAGGTGGTGGTAGAGACGAGGCTGCATGACCTTCGTGCTTTTGCGCACCCCCCCCCGCCGAAGGAGCAGAGCGGGGCGCTGCACCGCGCGACCGTGGCCGCGCAGGTGGTGGAGCCCGCCCGCCGGCAGCTGGCCGCGCGGCTGCGGCCGGAGCTGGAGGCGCAGCTGGAGGCCGCCAGGACCCGGGCACGACGTCCCCAGACCCCCAAGGTATCGTTGAGGAGTCTTGGGTTTGCACTGATTTTCCTCCTCCTCCTTCTCCTCCTCCTTCTCCTCCTCTTCCTCCTCCTCCTCCTCCTCTTCCTCCTCCTCCTCCTCAACCTCCTCGAGCCATGGAAAAAAACACGACGGAAGGCTTCTCACAACTATCGGCCTCGGGGCCGTCAAAAAACGACTCGGGATGAAACACCGGTCCCTGGGAATGGGTCGAGACGACTGGGCGTCGACGTCATGAAAAAAACATGACGTCTGGGGTCTGGGTCGACGGTCGAGGAAGGGCACCAGTGCCACAGCGTCGAGGAAAGGCGCGGTATATCACAGCGTTTTGCTCGAGCTCGCTGCGCGAGCAAGGATGCAGCCAAGGTTGCCGAGCCTGGGCCGAGCAGGAGAGTGTCACCGCCAGGGCGTGCGGCGTGCTGCTCGCTGTCGAAGGGCCGCAATCACAACGAATCGAATGTTTAGGAGCTGCATGAGCTTTCGGGTCTCTTGGATCTGAGCTGGGCCCCCCCTGGCGGCGCCTCCACCGCCGCTCCCGGCGCGCTCTGCACGCCGGGGGGGTGGGTTCAGCGCAGATCCAAGAAGTCCGCGGGTGTCGTCGAAAGTTTTGGTTATGCTTTTTTTATTCTTCTACACCACTTAGTTGATTTTTCGGGAGGGCCCCTCGGGGAAGAACCCGACGACCTCGACATGAAAACCGTCTTTGGACGCCACGTCGACCACAGCCAGCTCTAAGCCGGCTTCGATTTTCTGGCGATTGTTGGCGTGTGCAGGACATCTCCCATGGTATGCCCTCGATTCGGCGGCGAGCCCAGGGAGGAAGTGAGAAAGGGCGAGGAGCCTTTCCAGAAAGCTCGGAACTCCTCGGGCCTTCCGAGAAGTCTTCGAAGCCTTCTCCGAAGACACGGCAAGCTCCTCAGAAGGCCGGGGCGCTTCCGAGAGAGTTCCGCCGCCTGAGAATCGGCTAGACGTAAGAGTGACCTTTCGCCGGAGTGAGCTTTGGTGCGGGCCCAAATGGGTCCCCCAATCGCCGAACGCGCTGCGATATAAGCGGCTTGCGTGCTTGGGTTTGGCTCCCCCGCGCCCCCCAAAGGTCACTCTTACCCAGGGTCACTCTTGCGTGTAGTCGAGAGAAGGCGCCTCCTCCTTCTCCCTCCCCCCCCCCTCGCCCGCCCTCTCGATCGACGTGGCCGTGGCCGCCTGCTGCCCCCGTGCAGGAGCGCCCCCACCTCGGACGGCGCCGGCGCTGAGGCCCTCGCCAGGGCCAGGCACCTGGAGCCAGCGGGTTCTGGCTAGCAGGAAGTCAAGCAGTGGCGAAGCGTCTTGGCTCGCCTATAGCCCTACCAAACAATGTTCTAAGAACATTTTGTGGTTTCCACGAAATGGTCTTAGAACAGTTCTGGCGGAGCCTGTCTTGTTTTAACGCATCGGGCTTATGTTCTAAGAACATTGTTTGTGCTCTTAGAACATGTTTGGGTTCTAAGAGCATTTCGTGGTAGGACTACAGGAATGCCGGGACGGTTGGTCCCTGCTCAAGGAAGGGCTGGCAGGTTCGAGGTTCTGGGTTCGGAGGGATTTTTGTTACCCTCTCTGGCCTCTGGTAGCTGTGTTCGGGCCCCCGGATCGTCAGAAACGGATCCGGAGCGAAGACCTGCACCAGATGGACCCGCGAGAGGTCTGGGGACGGATTTTCGGTGGAATTTGCCGCATCCCCCTCCCTGGCCGATTCTGTGGTATTCCAACCAGTTCAGACCGGAGGGTGACTGGTTTATCCTGAACAATTTCTCCCGTGACGAACTCATGATTAAGAACGTTATTGCGGACGAATTCGTTAGGATGAAGTTGTCCAGATAAGTTTGTCGTCCGACTGAAGTCGTCTCTGGATGATTTCGTCTCTGGATGAATTCGATTCTGGAGGAGCTCGTCCTCGGAAGAGCTTGTCCAGAAGGAATTCTCCGGACGGTCTGGATAAGCTCGCCTCAGACGAACTGGCCTGGATGAAGCGGCTTAAGATGGCACGGTAGTCGGACAAGGCTAGAGGACGAGGAGAAATCCGTTCCAGAGCGTTCCGGAAATGCTCTCAGAGCTATCCAGGGCGCTCTGAGAAGGCCGCGGCGCCCGATGCATCCTCCAGAGCCGCTGTGGATCTTAGACGTTCCCGACTTCCCCTCACCCGATGCTGATGGGCCTGTTTTCCACCACCACCATAAGTTGGAGGGGGGAGGGGGTTCTCCTCCCCCTCTTCTTCTTCCTCCTCCTTCTCTTCCTCCACCTCCTTCCCCCCTCCAACTTATGGTGGTGGTGGGAAACAAGCCCATCAGATATCATCCTCGCCCTGGCTTCGTCTTAGGGTGTTCGTTCAGACCCCTGGGCCTCCTCCAGTCAGGCACCTCCTGCAGCGCATGGAGGCCGCGTGCCGGCCGACGTGCGCGCGGGAGTGCGGGGAGCTCGCGGCGCTCTGCGCGGAGGCCAAGGTCGGAGGGGCCAGAGGACATGGCTGTTTTGAGGGCAAAGTCAACCTGCTTCTAGAGGGCCAATCGTATGATTGGGGCATCTGCCAAATGCCGTTCTTGTCCTGAAGCAGGTTTCACACGGTACTCCAAAGTAGAAGTTCAAGAATCACAAGGTTTCCAGGACGTCCCAGATATCCGAAAGAGCGTGTTCTACCGCTGCTGGCGGAAAACCGGGGGGGGGTCACTACCGGTTCGAACCCCCCCCCCTCCCCCTCCGGAAAACCAGGGAGGGGGTCATTACCGGTTCGAACCCCTCCCCCCTCCCAGTCCATCATGAAAAGAGGGGGGGGTCACTACCGGTTCGACTCCCCCCCCGCCCCTCCTTGAAAACCGCGGGGGGTCACTACCGGTTCGAACCCCCCCACCCCCCTCCAAAACCGGGGGGGGGGGGCGGACAGTGGTGGGGACGGTGGTGGTGGGGACAGTGGTGAGGGGACAGCGGGACAGTGGTGGGGACAGTGGTGGACGGCAGTGGTGGGCACTGGTGAGGACAATGGTGGGAACAGTGGGGACAGTGGGACAGTGGTGGGGACGGTGGTGGTGGGGACAGTGGTGTGGGGGGACAGTGGGAATGTGGTGGAAACAGTGGGACACTGGAGGGTACAGTGGTGGTGGGGACAGTGGTGAAGGCGGTGGCGAGGACGGCGGTGGGAGGTGGTCAGTGGTGGGGACACAGTGGGACAATGGTGGGAACAGTGGGGACAGTGGGACAGTGGTGGGGACGGTGGTGGTGGGGACAGTGGTGTGGGGGGACAGTGGGGATGTGGTGGAAACAGTGGGACACTGGAGGGTACAGTGGTGGTGGGGACAGTGGTGAAGGCGGTGGCGAGGACGGCGGTGGGACAATTGGACAGAGGTACAGTGGGGACAGTGGTGGGGACAGTGGGGACAGTGGTGGGAACAGTGGGACAGCTCAGTGGGACAGCGGAGGAGTCAGTGGGACAGTGGGGACAGTGGGGATAGTCGGGCAGTGGTTGGGGCCGTGGAGAAAGTGGGGAGGGTGGAACCGTGGTGGGAACAGTGGTGGGGACAGTGGGGACAGTGCGACAGTGGTGGGGGCACTGGTGGGGACAGTAGGGACGGTGGTGGAACCAGTGGGGACAGTGGTGGTGAGGACAGTGGTGCTGGGAACAACAGTGGGGGATGTGGTGCGGACGGTGGAAGGGACCGGGAGTCGTTTGCTGGCGGTGAGGGGGGGGGAGGGGTTCGAACCGGTCGTGACTTCCTTTCGGTTTTCGAGGGGGGGGGGGGTTCGAACCGGTAGTGACCCCCCCTGTTTTCGAGGGGGAGGGGGGGGGGTATAACCCCCCCCCTCCCCTAATTATACGGGAGGGGGGTTTTGCCGGGGGAGGGGAGGGGGGGGGTCCAGCAGGGGGTGGATATTCGGAGGGGGGGGGGACCCGCGGGTTCCGGAGGAAGAGGGGGGGGGAATTTTCTTTAGTAAAGCGGCGGTGGATCACGCTCTCTCAGATATCCGGATGCCCCGCACGGGTTGCAACAAACGGGGGCCGTTGGACGCTCTGGAACAATCCTGGGACGCATCCTGAGCCGACCCTGTCATGGCATCACTCCCGCCCTGCAAGGGCGAGCTGGAGGCGCGGAAGAGCCGGGCGGGCTCCCTGAGGGATGCGCGGGAGAAGCTGAGGCTCTCGGTGAGCAGCGGGGACCCCGAGTCCGTGCAGGAGGCGCTGCGCGGCGCGAGGTCCTGCGGGGTGCCAGACGAGTTCACGCTGGACGCGGACGCGCGGCTCCGGGAGCTGCAGACCGCTGAGCGCCAGCTGCGGAGCGCGCTCGACTCGGGCGATCGGGTGCACCTCAGCGCCTCGCTGGAGGAGGCGTGCCAGCAGGGCCTGAAGACGCAGCTGGTTGACGAGGCGCGCCAGAGGCTGCAGAGCACGAAGACCAGCGCCCTGGTGGACGCGATCCGGCGGCGCGACTACCCCGCCCTGGGCCGGGCCATCGCGGACGTGGAGGCCCGTGGCCCCGAGGAGACCGCGGAGGTCAGCGACGTGCTGGAGCAGGCGCGGGCCGAGTACGCGGTGCTGGATCGGGTGGCCAAGGCTGTGTCGTCCGCGCTTGGCACGCTGAGCTACGAGGAGCTGCAGAAGGCGGTGGAGGAGGCCCGCCGCCTGAACGTGGCCACGGAGGACGTGCGGAGGGCCGAGAACGTGCTCGGCGCCATGGAGGACGCGGTGGAAAGGCTCAAAGGCGCCGTCTCCCAGCAGCCCGAGGACCTCGGCCTGCTCCAGGAGAGCCTGGGCCTCGCCCGCCAGCAGGGGCTCCACGCGCACCCGGTCTACCGGGAGGCCGAGAGGCTCTTCTCGGGCACCTGCACGCCTGCGGGGCTGGTGTGGGCGCTCGAGGAGCAGCGCAGGATCTGGGTCGTGCTCTGCCTGCGGCAGCCGCTGCCGCTCGCAGCTGGGGAGAGGGCTGGCGGCGCGGCTGTCGCACACCCCCTCGCCCTCGCAGTCTTCGAGCTGTGCCACGACGCGCAGATCTCGCCCGAGGGCGAGCCCTACTCCGTGAGCTTCATCCACCAGGCGCTCCTCGAGCTCGTGCGGCTGCCGGCCAGGGGCGGTGCGCCAGAGCGGCTGGACGACGTGCTGCGAGCGGCGCTGGAGAGCTTCTCCGCCACGGGCCCCGGCGGGGGGGGCCACGGGGCGGCCTGCCAGGGCGGCGCCGCCGGGGAGGTGGTCGACGCCCACGAGTTCAACCGCATCGGCGCGGCAGCGAAGAGGGCGGGGCTGGAGTCCACCAGGCAGCTGTTGTGGCTGCTGGTCTGCCTGCTGGAGTGGGAGAGCGGCCAGCGGCTCTTCCTGGCCTTTGTGGCGGAGCAGTCTCAGCGCGCCGCGGACCTGCTTAGCGAGGTGGACTCTACGGAGCACTCCCTGAGGAGCCGGATGACGACGCTGCAGGCCAAGGGCCAGCTGGACGACGAGACAGGCACGGGGGGTCCCATCCCCGACCCCGAGATCTCCCCGGAGGCCGCGAAGGCCCGCCAGCCTACGCCTCCGCCGGAGGCCGAGAAGGCCGGTGACCCCCGCGTGTCTCTGTTGCGCGGCGTGCTGGAGGGGCTCGAGCAGGTCAAGCGCGAGATCGCGAAGCTGCAGGCCGCCATCGTCAAGAGCAAGGGCGTCCCCGCAGCGGCGGGCTCGGAGGCGGCGCAGGACGGCGCCGCCCGCCCAGACGTCCGTCGCATCCTGGAGCTGCTGCGCCAGGCCTGCCCGCGCAGCCTGGACGAGGCCCGGTGCGCGGTGCAGACGAAGGAGCGGGAGGCCTCGTCCAAGGCGCGGGAGATCTACGGGGACACCTACGGGGCGCTCGAGACCAAGCTGCTGCAGCTGCAGTACCAGGGGCGCCTGGCGCTGGACGGGGAGGCGCTGTCGCACGCGGCGGCGGCGGCGCCCGCCTTGCGGAGGGGGCCGCAGGAGCCGCCCGAGAGGCAACTGCCGTTCGCCACCTTCTCGTGCTTCCCCGAGGCCGCGGCGTCGCTTCAAGACCACGCCTTCCTGCAACTGCTGGGCGTTCCCGAGACTCCTCCAAAGGGCTCATCTGGCGATCGCATTGACCGCTGCTTCCAGCGCGTGGAAATCTACGACCGCTTTAGCGAGAACAGCGGCGCGGTCGAGGACGAGTTCGAGAAGTTCTGCCGCGGAGCCGTAGCGGAAGCCCGTCAGCGTTGCGGCGGCAGGCGGTTGGTGGCTGCACTGAAGCCGCTCCTGATTGATCTGGTGAAAAGGAGGCAGCGCATCTCTTCGATGCTCAACACGCTGCGTGGATGTGGGCTCGACAAGGTAGAGAAGAACCTCCTGAGGAAGCACCTGCAGCCTCGGGACATCCTCATCGCGCTCGCGTTCAGCAGCATGCCGACGGGGCCTTCCCAGGCGCGGATGATGACCCTGGCAGCCAAGACGGACTCGCCGCTTCCGTTGCTGTTCGGCTGGGCGCAGCCACCGCCGGCTGGAGCCACCCCCGCGGGGGGGGGGTCCAGCCCAGGCGGCGCGGGGCTGCAGCTGTGCTCGCAGATCCACTGGGGCGCCTTCCGGGAGCTGTTCTGCAGGCCGTCCTGTCCCCTGGTGCTCTCGCTGGGCACCCGGGAGACGCTCGGCAAGTCCTACCTGCTCCAGGCCCTCTACGCCCTGCAGGAGGTCCACCTCCGCGGCCGGCCCTCCCCAGCACTGAGGATTCACGACATGCCTTCGGTGGACCTCATCGGCGACTTCGCGCGGGAGGAGTCACTCCGCGGCGTCACTCTCGCGGACGTGCACGGCTTCGATGCCACAGAGGAACTGTGTGAGGCGCTGGTGTCCACCCTGTCCAGCTGCGCCTCGCTGATGCTGTTGCACGTCTCGCTCAGGGGCGACTTCCGGGACGAGGCCGGCGTGCCCCGCCCCTGCCCGGGGCTGCGGGAGCTCCTCGGCGTGCTCGCGGCCTCGCGGCCTGCCAGCTGCGCCACCGTGCTGTTGCTCCTGCGCGACTGCGATGCCGACGAGGGCGGTACCGAAGAGCAAAAGAGGCTGGCCGCCTGCATCGGCGCCGTCCGCTCTGGCCTCGCGCGCGGCGGCGAGGATCGAAGAGAACAGAGAGTTCTGAGATCTTGGCGTTGTAGTTTTGTCGCAACGGGCGTGTTCGCCTGGTTTCGGGCCCCGGGCCCTAACAGATCGATCTGCTTTGAAAAGCGACGTAGGATGACGGGGTCCGGGGCTCCGGTGGTGATTTTGGCGATCTATCGTTTTGTTGGAGCGTCAGAGCTGAGGGAACGGCAAAAAAGCATAAGTTCTCGGAGGCCCATGTGGATTTCTTGTAGCGCCGTTGTGTGGGCCCCCCTTCCAGCACCTCCGGCGCCGCCCCTGGCGCGCTCCGCGCGCCTGGGAGGGGGGCCGAGCGCCGATCCACGAAGTCCGCGCGGGCCTCTGAGAAAAAGTATGCCATTACACAGTGGGGGCGCGCATCAAGAAACCGCATACTTTTCGTCAAGGTCCCCTGGGTTCCTTCGCTCCGCGAGCTGTGCGGTGCAGTTCCGCAGCCGTCGAAGAGGCTGCTGCGTTCAGGGTGCTCTGGGTTTCCCCTGGGGTGCACCTCGCGCGCGGGTTTGCAGGGCTGGGTTTCTCGCGAGGGTTTCCTGCGACCGCGCCCCCACTGTATGTCGTTGTTTGTCAGGAGGGAACAACACACAGACACAATTTATCGTCGATTCCCCAGACAATATGGGAAAATATGGGAAATGGGGGGAAGACAAGAACCCTTAACGTATGGGAAAGTATGGGGAATCATGTTATTTGTGTCATTTTTTTTGTGTGTCCCAGGGCCCCTTCAGTTTGGTTCCTCTAGAGGAAGGCCCCGGCCTGCTGGCCTGGCCGGTTGCCTCGCTCGATGGCCTGGGCGCCCAGGAGCTGGGGAACGAGGTGAAGTCCCTGCGGAAGGGCCGCGCCCTCGCGGACTCGAGCGGCCGCCTGGGGCCATCGCTGGAGGAGGCCCTCTCGGAAAGGGCTGGATCAAGAGCACAGGAAGATCGGCTCTGGTGTCGGCCCCCCCTTCGAGCGCCGGCTTCCATCTCTGGAGGGAGAGCAGCGGGCGAGAGGGGGGCGTTCGGCTGCTGGACTGACGCTCGTCTGGGCCTTGCCACGAAAGCTGCAGAGTATATGCGTGCGCTTCGCTTCTCGCAAAGTGATTTCCCGTGGAGCTCACTGGTTCGACGCACGAAGGGCGCTCCAGAGTCTCTGGAGTGGATGGGTTGGTTCGAGGGTTAGTTGCTGCATTCAGGAATCAACAGGCGAGTTGTAACAAAACAGAACATGTGAATCGAAACCTCTGCGTGGTCTATAGATTTGGAGGGTTTGGAGCCAAACGTTGTGGCGCAACATGCGAACCCAATCGCACCATATGGACATGGAAACACTGGGGTCGCGTCCAGACAGAAGTTGAACTTCGTCCAGTCTTGATTGCAGCAATTCGCTTGAAGGGAACGGGCGGTTACCGCAGGGCAGAGTAACTCTAAGGTTCAGCGTCCGCAGCTCCTGGTCTCACGCCCTTCAAGGCCTTAGCAGTCGCGGCGGGGTCGAAGCATAGGTTCCCATCCATTGCAGTGCTGCAGGAGCGCTTCGAGGAGTTTGCCGCGCAGCTGAAGCGGGGCGCTGAGGACGCCAGGCACTCTGGTGGATCGCAGCCGCACGCCGCGGCGCCGCCTCGGCCGCTGCTGTCACCCAAGAGCGATGACCCCTACGGCGCTCTCGCCAGGCGGATCTTTCAGGAGCTTGAGTCTGCTGGCTCGAGCGAGGGGTTGCTCAGCACACTTTTCCCCGTGGCCCACTGCCACCAGCAGCTTACGGTCCTGTCCCAGGAGAAGGTCCGCTGCGTCAACCGCGGGCGCGAGTTCATGGAGCCCGAGGAGCGCCGGAAGCTTGAGACGAGCGCCGACGACTTGGACAAGAGGATCAGCAAGCTGCGCAAGTCGCGGCAGCGTGCGCCGCCACACGCACTGCTGAGGACCTTCGGGCAGCTGGTGCTGGCAGGCGACACGAGCGCCATCGCCGCCTTCGGGGCCTACCTCGACGACTGGAAGCAGACGCGCCGCGCCCCCCTGCTGGAGGCGAAGCTGCGGCTCCGGAAGGAGCTCGATCAGCTGATCGACGGCGACGGCGCTGGGGAGGGCCCCGCCCCCGCCAAGGCGAGCCGCCCGAAAGGGGGGGGGGATGACTGGGGGTGTGTGGATCTCATGACCAGGGCCCCGGTGTCTCCCCAGGTCTCATGGACCCCCTCTTATCTTTCAATGCGTTCCCTGCCCCCCCTCCCCCCCGGTCCGCGCACAGGCCTCGGGCCATGGTTTGCGACCCCCCGTCTTGGACGTCTCCCTCCTGGCCCTTCGCCGGAGTGACCGCTGGTGCGCGCCCACAGACTCGGGGGTGGACAGACCTCCTACCCTGACACGTCGATTAGTGGATTGTCAGTTTTCGGTTCTCCAGAGGGCGCCGCGGCCGTCATTTTTCAGGCTTGCGCCCGCCAGGTTTGGGCCCGAGGTCGTTTTCACTAAACCACGTTTTACTAAAGGGGAGTCTGTCCATCCCCGACAGATGGCCTCTTGCGCTTGCTCGTGCGCTTGGATTCGGCGCCCCCGGCCACTTGCTCGTGCGCTCGTAGCCCCCTGGAAGTCCGCGCACCAAAGTTCACTCTTGCACAGGGCCACTCTTGAGCGTAGCCGAAGGCCGCGCAGGGCCCCAGCACGCCTGCGCGGAAGCGGCCCGCCTCCGGCCTGGAGCCGGCCGGATCGCCGGCGCCGGGGCCGCCGGCGGGGGCAAGTGGCGGCCGCGTCGAGAGGCTGCTGTCCGAGCTCGGGTCGCTGCAGCGCCGGCTGGACGAGGTGGACGTGTCCACGGACTCGTTCTGGCTGGAGCTGATGCTGTGGCACGAGCTCGAGCGGATCTCGAAGAAGAGAAAACGGCATAACACACAAACTTGTGGCGCTCCGCGCGGACGTCTCGGATCCGCGCTGGGCCCCTCACAGTCTATGCTTATGCTGTTGTTTTCCCTTGTTCTAGGATCGGCGAGCGCAGGGGCCTGCGGGAGGTTGACGAGCGGCTCAGCTACGGCGCCGCGAGGGCGTGCTACCTGAGCTGGGTGAAGAACGGCAGCCCCGTGCACTTCCTGCACTCCGCGCCTCTGCAGTTTGGCGCCTTCGAGCCGCTGAGGTGGCACCCGCAGATCTCGGGCGCCTCGCTGTTCGGCTCCGACTTCGTCGGGGACATCCTGCGCGAGCTCGACCGCGACCTCGGCGTGGACGCGCGTCGCCGGCCCCTGCTGGTCATCAGCGTCATCGGCGTGCAGAGCAGCGGGAAGAGCACTCTGATGAATTACCTCTTCGGTTGCTCCTTCGCCACTCACGTGGGCCGCTGCACAAAGGGCCTCTACATTTCCCTGCTAGAGACGCAGCGGGAGCTGATCGTGATATTGGACACGGAGGGGCTGCTTTCAGTGGAGGCTCGGGACGACGTGTTCGACAAGCAGGTTGCCTTGATGACGATGGCCTGTTCCGACCTTGTAATCGTGAACAACCGCGGCGAGCTGGGCAGACATGTCGGAGACCTGTTTCAGGTTTGCCTCTTTGCCCTGTACCACCTCAAGCTGGCGCGGATATCGCCTGCGATCGGCTTCGTGCTGCAGTGCCTTAGTATGGTGAACCAGCAGCAGCAATACGAGTGGGTGGCGACCGTGAAGAAGTCCCTGGAAGAGTCAGTGCAGGAGCTGCAGCAGAAGGAGAAACCGTATTCGTTCAAGCTGCAGGACCTCGTTTTTCTCGACAGCGAGTCTATCTTCGTCATGCCAAGCGCATTCAATGACGACGTGCAGTTTGGCCAACAGGTGTCCCGGCCCACCAGCTTGTACGCCCTGAAGGCGCTGCAGCTGCGCGAGAAAGTCTTCCACTGGATCAGTCGCGCAAAGGCCTCGCAGAAGCAGCGACTCCGTGAGGTGGCAGCGGCGCCACCCCCACAGCTGGCAGGGCCCTCGCAGGCGGCCGCGCCTTCGCAGCTGCCAGCTCTGCCGCCCGGGCAGGACGCACCACCAACTTCATCGTTCGCAACTCTGTCACAGTGGTACGAGCACGCCCGCACGGTATGGCAGACACTGTCCATGTGCGGTACGGATCTGCTGCAGTTCCGCACCATGCGGCAGGTCCTCATGGCACAACAGTTGCAGGAGTTCTGCGACTCCCTGGTCCAGAAACACATCGAAGGCCGCCTCAGCTCTGAGATCCAGGCGCTGATTGAGCTCCACACGAGGGAGCTCCGCAGCGCAGGCACCGCTGGCGACGTGCACGCCACGGACAATGCGTTCCGAGGTCAGCTCGACTCCGTCCGAAGCGCTGCTATGCAGGAGATGCACCACGAGTTCGACGAGTTTGTCAAGGCCCACGACACGAAGTTCACCGACGAACAGGTGAAGAGCGACAAGCGCTTCTCGCTTATGGGACCCCTGCGCCGCAAGGTGGCCTCGGCGGAAAGCCTCTGGCGCAGCGGCGTGCACCTGGCCCTGGAGCAGCGGTCGATGGACCACCTCTTCGATGAGATTTCCGCCAGGGTGAACGACCTCCTGTTGGAGCAGGGTGCGAGCGTGAACGTTGAGAATGTGGAGCGCGTGTTCGAGGAGAAGTGGAGCCAAGTGATGAACGAGACGCTCCGGAAGCAGAAGCCGAGTCTGGACAAGGTGGTGCAGGAGGTTGTTTGGCACTTCAACGCTGCGCTCTCAAACCTGAAGTCGCAGTTCCGGAAGGCGCACATCTTCCACGGGGTGAAATCCCTCAGCGTGCAGGAGATGGGCGGCGACTCCGAGGTGTGCAACTCCTTCCTCTTGAGCAAGAAAGGCGTCGGCGACGCCCTCGTGCCGAAGCAAATGCCTGTGGCCAGCAACGCGAGTACTCAGGTGGACAGCCTCTGGATTAAGCTGGTCGATTCAATGAGGCTTGAGGTGGATCAGCAAGGCCAGATGTCAGACGCCGCCGCCCTCAAAATCCTGAACCGCCTGAACTCTGAGATGGAGGCAATGGACCAGCTGCGCCAATTACTTCACCGCTTGGGCTCCACTTTCGTCAACCGCGTGTTCCGCGAGATCGCCAGGGCGACCATGCAGTATCGCTACCAGATTGAGCAGCAGAATTTCCAGTCCAGGGTCCGAGAAATCATGGACAAGAAGCAGCAGAAGCTCTGGGAAATTCAGGCGCGCGTGGACAGCGGCAAGCGCGAGGTGCACTGCGCGAAGGTATGGGCGAAGACATTCGTGGACACCCTTGATCAACATTTCCGTGGAGCAGTCGGGCGCATGGCACAGGAGATTGTTTCCCACATGTCTAACATCCTCACCAATCCTGGCAACGCTTGTGAGCTTGCCATCGAGCGCTCCTTCACGAAGCGGAACTGGCGGCACGTGGTCATGTACGCAATCGATCCCACCCAGTACCTCTTCATGGAGTTCCACAAGGAGTGGGAGCAGTTCAAGCAGGGACTCGTTGACCAGTACTGCCAGGAACTCAAGAGCAACTTCGGGAGCTGCCTGCGCCTGGCGGAGGATCGCATGCAGGGCCTCTTGCGGCGGTCCAGCGGCCAGGGCGCGGGGGCCGGCGAGCGGAACATGACCATGAACCGGCTGTCTGGGGACCTGCGGGCAGCCTGCCAGGATCTTGCGGACGAGACAATCTCCAGCGTGCTCTGCTCCTGCCTGCCGTCCTTCCCGTCGGAGGCCGACTGGCCGCTGAACGACCTGGAGCAGTTCGTGCAGTTCGCGAGCGTGGAGCTCCGGCGGTACCGCGCAAACATGCGCGAGACGGAGCAGACGGTGGAGAAGAGGATGGAGCAGGAGCTCACCCGGCAGAAGGCGAACTGCTGGAAGTGCATCTGCGGCTGTCCGGCCCGGTGCCCTGGATGCGGCACCAAGTGCAACCTCGAGTCCGAGAACCACTGGCCCGAGAGGCCGCACGAGTGCCGGCGGCACCTCTACCCCGCCTTCAACGGCTGGCAGAAGCAGGAGGGCCGGAAGCCGTTCCTGCTGCACTGCCGCGCCCGGGCGCAGTGGCAGATCGCCAGGACCCGGCCCCCGATCGAGCCTGGCGGCCCAGAGCGCTACTGGGACGACTTCCAGTCCATGCTGGAGGACGAGCATCCAGACTGGCTGGACCCGAGGACCCGCAGGCCGCTGCCCTCCATGGAGCCTAGCGAGGACTACGAGGAGGACTCCGCGGACCCGCCCGAGCACATCCAGAAGGAGATCGAGGAGAATCGGCGGGCCTGGGCGAACACGAAGGACGCGCTGCTGGAGCACTTCACCTCCATGGCCGACGATCGCGACATCGGGTGGCTCGAAAAGTACAAGCGCGAGGGCGGCGCTCTGAGCAGCGCCGACTTCGCGAACATCCGCGACGAACTATTCGCCGTCACGCCCCTTGAGTCCATGGAGGCCATGGCCCCCCTGGACGACTCCTTCGAGGACTCCTTCTGAGGCTTTCCCCCTCCCAGGCGGCGCCCGCGGGGCACTGCCCGCCAGCAACAGCACGCGCGCGCCGCACAGATGCGGTGCAGCACGAAGCTGGACACACATGACGTGCCTGGCCTGGGCCAGAGCTGGGCATACACGCGGCCGCGCGTCTCTCCAGCGCCTGGCCCTCGTGTCGCCGGGCATGCCGGCCCATCGCACGCGTGTCCAGCAGCTGACCTCCGCGCGCTTCGCGCGCGAACCCAGCCACACGTGCTTCCAGCTTCCAGGTAAGTGGCCACGGAAGGGTGCATGTGATACACAGTCTGCGCCCTCATCCGCCCCACGCCCCGCTCCCCGCCGAATCGCTGCGTGCCCCCGCGCAAGACGGACGGCCCACGCCACACGGGCGGCGGGCAGATCGGTCTCATGGCCGCCAGGGGCCAGGGGCGGCAGAAAAGGGGGCGAAGCGGAGGGCACCCCGCGCGCAGTCAGTCAGAGGGGGGAATGGTACCGATACCGCTACCCCTCCTCCCCCGTCCCTTGTCGCTGGTGGGGTGTCCTGTAGATCTCTCGTCACCGCGGCCAGCTTCGCCTCGGGATGTTTGTTTCAACGCACCTGGGAGGTCGGGAGGGCATCGGCATCGGTGCATCTGTCATCCGCCCAACTTGAAGTATCCCTCGTTCTCGGCGCAAGCAAAACATGTGGCGGTGGCATGTGTTCGCGAGGCACTGGTAAGAGTCGTCAGCGCAGCCTGCAAGGTTGGGTTGGGTCGGAAAGAGGAGCTCCTCTCATCCGCAGCGGATGTTCTTCCTCCACTTCCCCCTCCTCCCCTCTTACTCGTCCCCCTCTCCCTCTTTCCCCTTCCCTTCATCCTCTCCGCCTCCTCCTCCTCATCATCATCATCCTTCCTTCTCCTCCCTCCTCCTCCTTATCCTCCTCCTCCTAAGACGACGACGAAGGCGACGACGAAGAACTATTGCTACGATGCCCGGGCTCCTGCCTGCGAGGCCCCGCCGGTCGCGAGGTTAGCTGCACAAGCGGAAGAGGAAGAGGAGGAGGAGGAAGAGGAGGGGGAAAGAGGGAAGAGGAGGCTGGGGAGGCGGAGATCCCTGTCTGTCCTGCTGTGCTCTCTCTCTCTCTCTCCCCCCTGTCCCTCCGCTCCCCTGTGCGAGGCGGCAGGGTGCAGCTGTCCGCACGCACGACCGCCAGTTTAGTCTCTGGCGAGGGCTTCGCGGAGCCCCCCCGCCGCGCTTGGTGTCGTCTTCGCCGATGTCAACTGAGGAGGAGGACGACGAGGAGGAGGAGGAGGAGGAGCGCAAGCCCAAGACCCACCAATGATGTTGCAATAAACCTTTCCTCCAAGTTCCACTTTCATTGGCCCTGCAAGGTGCCATTTCCGCTGTGGTCAAGGGCCCCGTTGGAAAACAACCATTTTCAAAATCCTGAATTGTGTCAGAACACCATTTCTAGGGTACGAACGCCGCGAAGCAATGACATTTTTGTGTCCTGACGATTCCGAGTCGCGCCGTAACGCCATTCCTGAGATTTCAGCACCGCGAATCAACGTGACTGTGGCGCCCCGACAATCCTGCATCGTACAAGAGCTCAGTATTGGGGGGGCGTCAGCAGTCAATTATCCTGGCGCATGGCCCTACCATGTGCAACTGTGGGTACCCCGTTGTAGGTACCGCTTTCGGTGGAGCTCCCTGTGGTGTCCCGAAATGTTGAACGGGTGTGCTCAAGTAATGGATGCGGTGTGATGCCGTGCGAGCGGAGCCGCTGGGGCCTTCGGCAGAGCTCCCTATGGGCCACGGAGCGTGCGAGGGGTTTGCCAACATGGGCGCGGTCGCGCCGTGCGAGCGCAGCCACTGGGGCCTTCGATGGAGCTCCCCATGGGGCCACGAGACGTGCGCGGGGTTTGGCGACACGGGTGCGGTGGTGCCATGCGGGCGCAGCCAATGGGGCCCTCGGTTGAACTCCTTATGGGGCCACGAAAACTGTGTGTGTGTGGTGTGTGTGTGTGCCGAAACGGGTGCGGTGGTGCCACGCGAACGCAGCCACTGGTGCATTCGGTGGAGCTCCCATGGGGCCACGAAGCGTGTGGGAGGTGTGCCGAAATCGGTGCTGCGGTGCAATGCGAGCGCAGCCACGGGGGCCTTCCGTAGTGCTCCCTATGGCGCCACGAAGCGTGTGAGGTGTGTGGCGACATGAACTCGGTGGTGCCATGCGAGCGCAGCCATTGGGGCCTTCGGCGGAGGTGTGCCGAAATGGGTGGGTGTGGTGGTGCCATGCGCGCGCAACCGCTGGAGCCCTCGGTGGAGCTGCCTATGGGGCCACGAAACGTCTGATGGGTGTGGCGAAATCGGCTCGGTGGTGGCATGCGAGCGCAACAGCTGAGGCCCTCTTTGGAGCCCCCAATGTGGCCACGAAGTGTGCCGGACTGGGTGGATGCTGTGGTGCCATGCGAGCGCAGCTACTGGGGACTTCGGTGCATCCCGTTATCGCGCCACGAAGCGTGTGAAGAGTGTGGTGGCATGGGCGCGGTGATGCCATGCGAGCGCAACCACTGGGGCCTTCGGTGGAGCTTCGTATGTTGCCACGAAGCGTGTGAGGGGTGTGTCGGAATGCTGGGCGCGGTGGGGCCATGCGAGCACAGCCATTGGGGCCCTCGGTGGAGCTTCCTTGTCGGGCCACAAAACGTGTGAGGGGTGTGCCAGGATGCTCGGGCGCGCTGGTGCCATGCGAGCGCAGCCACTGGTGCCCTCGGTAGAGAACGCGGCGGTGCCATGCGAGCGCAGCCATTGGGGCATTCGGTGGACCTCCCTACGGAGCCACGCAACGTGCGAGGGGTGTGGCGACATGGTTGACATGCTAGGAGCAAAAGCAGGAACGGAAGGAGGGAGGAGGAGGAAGGGGGAGTGAGGAGCGAGAAACGCGGGGCGCTGTGTCTTCCAAACGAGGACCCAACACCGCAGGATGGTTGGGCAAACCCTTTTTGAGAGCGCGTTTAACTCTTAAGACGAATGCGCGCGGCGCTGGAGCGAGAGCCGGGACGCTCGTGCATTGTCTTAATACGAATGCGTGCAGCGCCAAGGCGAGAGCCGCATTTTGGACACCGCCCACCCTCCATCCGCAAACCTCTTGCAAACTTGAAAGACGAACGTGCGCGGCGCCAATGCGAGAGCCTCATTTTGAAAACCGCATGCCCCCCATCCGTGAAGCTACTGTACTGTTTCAAGACGACTGTGCTCTGCGTGAGGGCGAGAGCCACATTTTGAAGACCGCCCGTCCTCTATCCGTGGAACCCCTGCCACTTCTTAAGCTTAAGGAGCATACATGGTGAGGAAGTCTCAAGAGAAACGCCCGTCCCGCCCTACCGACAGGTCTCGGGGTACGATAGGAGGGGTCATCATAGGGTGGATGGGGGAGGGGGGGAAGGAGGATGAGGAGGAAGATGAGGAGGAGGAGGAGGAGGAGGAGGAGGCGGCCGAGGATGAGGAGGAGGCGGGGAGGAGGATGGGACTGGGAATGGGGATGGGGAGGGGGAGGGGGAGGAGGAGGGATGGGGGAGGGGGTGGTCGGGTTCGGGTGTCCACAAAGGAACGGTCGAGCCCTTTCTGTCGGCCGACTGTCAAAGCCGCTCCTGCAGCGGGCTCATCCTCACCGCAGGCGCACGCAGCCTAAGGGAAGGATGCTGGACAAAATGAAGACACACGATGCTCCAGAGACCACACCACATGATAGAGATGCGCTAGACACACATGCGGCTCAAGAGTCAATCAACAAAACAAGCGATAAACGTTCTCAAACCACACGTGAGGCTCCAGCGGCCATCAACCAAGCACCAGGTAGCCGTATACACAACGGCGCTTGTGAGTCTCCCAGCCTGCGAACCCAGCGGGGGGGGGTGCACCACGGCAGGACTGGGGGCCCCACGGGAGGGGGGAGGTGGAGGAGCAAGGCGATGATGGAGGAGGTGGGAGGAGGAGGAGGAGGAGGAGGAGGGGGAGGAGGAGGAGGAGGAGCAGAAGGAGGAGGATGATGATGAGGAGGAGGAGGAGGAGCAGAAGAGTGAGCAGAGGAGGAGGGAGGAGGAAGGAGGAGGAGGAGGAAGTGCGGAGAGGAGGAAAAGGATGATGAAGGAGGAGAAATACGTAGGAGGAGGAGGAGGAGGAGGAGGAGGAGGAGGTTAGGGAGGAAGGAGGGCTGAGGAGGAGGAGGAGGAGGAGGAAGAGACAGAGATGATGAGGAGGAGGAGGTGGGGGCGCGAGGAGGAGGAGGAGGAGGAGGACGTGATGCTGCTGATGATGATGATGATGATGATGGTGATGATGATGATGATGCTGCTGCTGCTGCTGCTGATGATGATGATGATGATGATGATGACGATACTGATACTGATACTGATACTGATACTGATACT